TGTGTACTTTTCGAACCATTGCCTATATCCATATTTTTTTAGAAAAAGTTTTAAGAAAAGATTCAGGCCAGGTTGTGGTGGATCTTCAGTATAGTTGGGAGTATGGATTTTACATCCTGGTAAATGAGCAGAATTATGTGAACAGAGCTGTGTTTTTGAAAATTTACCTTTAAAAAAAAAAAAAGAAAATTTACCTTTTTATCAGCCCTTCGTGAATTAGAAAAGAGCAAAGTCAGGAGTAACAGATTTGGTAAAGAAGCTGTTGCAATAGCCCTGGTCATTGTTAATGAATGCATTCCTAATTCATATTTCTGTGAATTTCTCAAATGTCATGTTCTGTTTTTTTTTTTTTTTTTTAACATCCTGTTTTGCATCAGGTCAGCATTTGGCAGATAACAGGCATGCTGGATATTCGATGACTGAGCATATTCATGCATCATCCACTTTCTTCCAGTAGGCTTCAGTAATTACTGATTCTTGAATTTTTGTAGTGTCTTCCATCCCTATGATTTGGCATCTGCTTATAATGTATTATAATCTTTCCCAGTAATTATAAACACTGTGGGGTTACCTTACTCTTTTTATCTGCCTATGTTTAACTTGTTGCACAGAATGAATTATTATTACTATGTATCTATAATGTATGTATAATTATTCTGTTTTTATTATTGCTTATTTTGCCTTTGTATAGTCCTTTTCTCATTAAAGTGGGAGTGGTTATTTTTAAGATTTATTTATTTATTGGAGGGGAAGAGGGAGATAAAACCCTCAAGTACACTCCTCGCTGAGCACAGAGCCTGACTTGGGGCTAGATCCCAAGATCCAGAGATCATGACCTGACCTGAAATCAAGAGTCAAATGCTTAACTGACTGAGACACCCAGGCTCCCCAAAATGGGAGTTTTGCATAGTAATTGAGAACATAGACTCTGGAGCCAGATTGCTTGAATTTGAATTATTTAGTGAAGTTTGGGCAAATTATTTAACATCAATATAACTTAATTTCCTTTAAAAAAACTTAATTTCCTTATTTATACAGTAGAGATTTGAAGATTAAATATAGTTTTATGTGAGTACTTAATACAGAGATTAATACATAGTTTTGTATGTTATGGAAGGTTTAGCAATTATTGATTGATTTTGGAGAAAGTCAGTTGAATAACACCAATTCTTATTTACTTTACCTACGTTTGTATTCTTTAAAGATCTGCCTATTTCTTTTTACTAAAATGACCAACTTCTTTGTTTCCTGGAAATCATAGCAGCCTGTGTCTCTTGAGTCACGCTTTCTTGGTGATAAATTAGACCTCTAACAACTGTGTTTCCTTACATTTCCTTTAGATAAGCAGGATTCTAGTGTTAAGGGATATTAATCCACTTTGTTAATGCTTGTTTTGTTATTGCAAAACCAGTGTGACAGTGGGAGCATGGATTCTGTTGGGATATTGCCATCTTTGCATTGTTTCATGCCACATTGTGAGGGCATGAGGGATGAGTTAATCAGCTGTCCTATGTGGTCTGTTGCCTTGATGCTTAATCACTTGACTGGGGAACCCTGGGTGGCGCAGCGGTTTAGCGCCTGCCTTTGGCCCAGGGCGGGATCCTGGAGACCCGGGATCGAATCCCACGTCGGGCTCCCGGTGCATGGAGCCTGCTTCTCCCTCTGCCTATGTCTCTGCCCCCACCCCCTCTGTGTGACTATCATAAATAAATAAAAATTAAAAATAAATAAATAAAAAATCACTTGACGGCCCTTTACAAAAAGACAGTAGCCAGTTTCCTACAGCTGAATTAGCCTTTTATAACTGTTTAAATAAATCACTTTTTAAAAACAGTTGAAACATTCCTAGCGTGAAAGAAAAATGCAGTTTATTTCTATGTTTAAAATAAGTCCCTATTAATATTATTTTTCAAAGCAAATCTGTATTTTGAAATTTTAAAAATTTCTGTGAACTGAGTTTGTCATTGCAATAAGCTTTCATAAACTACTTCCTTTAAGAATTGCTAGTGATAGTAGATAGCAGAAAGGAATTTGGTATAACAAGTAAAACTTACTACAAATTTTTTGAATTTAATTGCACAAGCAGATATGTTTCAATTTGTTTATATTTTTTATTTTGCTTTTGTTTCAGCTTAACTAGTCACTGTTGAATTATTATTTTTGTTTGTGTTAATCAGATTTTGTAATTAAAGCAACTGAAATATTGTGTTGTAAAATAAGAGGCCATGCCATTCCATTTTGGAGTAGATCTGAAAGGCTGTCTGTACCTAAAAACTATACTGTTCATTTGAGTTTGAGTTATTCCATGATATATTTTTATTTTTATTTTTTGATTTATTATTATTTTTTTGGTGATATGTTTTTAGAATCTAATTTTGTTTATGTTTATGATCAAAATATGATTAAATGTGTCAAAAATTGGGAACAAATGATTCCGTGTTTGGAAATACTGAAATCCTGAGTCTTAGTGATGTGTGGAAGTACTTAGATTTTTTTAAAAGACAACTCTTTGTCTCTCTTTTTACCAGAATTTACTGGAAATATTATTCTTTATACTTTCCGGTCAGTATTTTAATTAGAATTTTATTGTTTTAAAATTATACAAAATGTAAATATCCCAGATTATTAGAAAAGGAAACCGTACAGATCCTTGATACTGCAATATTTAAGAGCAAAACATAACAGAACATAAGACTATAATAACAAGTCAAAACAAAAAGTTAATTTTTAAAACAGATTTATTTAAAGCGAGAGAGCATGAGTCGGAGGGGCAGAGGGAGAAGGAGGAGAGAGAGAATTTCAGGCATACCCCCACTGAGCACAGAGCCCAAGGCAGGGCTTGATCTCATGACCCTGATGTCACAACCAAGAATCAGGTGCTTTATTTAGCCAACTGTGTACCCAGGCGCCCCTAAAAAGTTAATTTTTAGTATAAGAGTTAAGAATGAGCTAGCTAATGCAGCTGAGTAATAACCTTTGTTGAAAAAAGAGGCTATCTTGAATAACAGGGTAGCAACAAAAGAAATAGTAAACTTATTGACTTATTTATATCCTCAAATCAATTCTTTTGACAACTAGCATTTTTATTTATATGGTAATTTTCTCTCTGCATTGTCTTAGGCTGTTATTTTAATAAGCTAGTGTTTAAACTTTTTTCTTAAAACATGATAGTTTGAAAATGACCTATTAACTTTTACTTGCACAACACTATAATGCTGATTTATTAGCCATATATGTTTGTATGTGGAGTAAAAGTATCTAGATTGAAGTTTCAGCCATACCCAAACCTTCTCAGTTAAGGATAGGATTTCAGTTCTGAGAACTCTTCTTTGCCAGACACAGTAATATTTCTCCTTCCGTGGCATTACACTATGGGTATAAATTGAATCAGGATAAATAAGTAGTTGCCATCAATATAGTTGTGCTACATTAGAATCCATAGGGCAGATAACAGCTGAGCCAGCAGTTCAGTTATGGTTGTTGTAAAGATAAATTCATCGCTTTGCCATGTAGTCCTATTTTAATGGAGGGAATATTTGCTGATTTGTGCTATAGCCCATAACATTTAATGAAATTGTTATAACATTAAGAAAGGATTTAAAGCTATAAAAAAGTGCACATCTCAATGTGTTTTTATACAAGATATTCATATAATGTACCTTTTATTAATCATCATCATTATCTTGGTAAGCTTTTAACTAAATTATTAACTAATTATTAACTGTTCTGTAAAAGGATATCACAAGTAACCCAGAAAGAAAAGTATGCTATGTGTAGGTATTTATACACATTAAGTGAATGCTTGATATATGCAGAGTACTACCATATCATCCTAGCCACTTAAAGACTTACTAATAACTTTAGGCAAATTGCTTCACCTCTAATTCTCAGTTTTCTTGTGTGTAAAATGTAGATAAAGATAATACCTGTTTCATAGGGTTATTATGAGAATTAAATGAGTTAATACCAGTGGTTATGCTTAGTGGTCAGTGAATGTTAGCTATTACTATTGTGTAATTAATTCTAGATCAGTGAGAATTCTTTTTTTTTTTTTATCAGTGAGAATTCTTATCTAGCCTTACAGCTAAGCTTCTAGAACAGATTCTTAACTTCTTGAGAAATACGTGATGATTCATTTCACTCTTATTTCCATTAGGTTACTTACATTTCTTGCTGGTTATATAACAACTTTGTTGAGACTCCAAGTTAAGTTCTATAAAGTTGAATAAGGTGTGCGTTGCTTTGAAGTATCTTATTTTGGAACTTGTGTAAAAAGTCAGTAAGAGAAGGATGAATTCCCCAAGTAACCCTAAAATATAAAAAAGGGGAGATTTTTAGTTTTTCCCTTTTTTGTGGTGTAAGAAACTATTGGGGGTTACATAAGTTAGATCATCTTTGGGAGGTGAGAAATGAGTTTGGGAAAACATAGTGATAAGTTAATGATTCCATTTTTGTGTATATTTCATACCTTTGTCATCATCTTTTCTTTAATTGCTTCAGTAATTCAGTTTGTGTACTAATTTATTAAAATAACATTGCATACTGGGAAGTTCTGTCATCCTCACAAAATGGTAGAAGGGAAATAGATTTATGAAGAGATTATTTGGTAATTCTCTTCTAACATATTTTTTAATATACCAAACCTTTTCATCTTTCCTTGCTACTTTTGTAATTCAACTTGTTAATCTTTATAGTTGGGTAGGTTTTAATATGGTTTACTAAAGATGAATTGAAAAACGTGATGTTTCTAGGAACTGGGGTAGCTATAAGAATTGTGTAGCTATGCACAGTTCTCTACCACTTGTAATGTGGTATGTCTTGATCATGACTTTATCTGAAGATAAAGTCTAGTACAATTTAGGGGCATTTCAAGTCAATCTCTTATTCTTAAAGACATTTTGACTTTAGAAATAGAAAAAAAAACCCTAAAATGTTGTCATTGTAATGTCACAGGGATAGGGAAATAGTCTTACTGACTAAATACACATTTTCTTCCATAGTATTGAATTTGACCGAGATTGTGACTATTTTGCAATTGCTGGGGTTACAAAGAAGATTAAAGTCTATGAATATGGCACAGTCATTCAGGATGCGGTGGATATTCATTACCCTGAAAATGAAATGACCTGCAATTCCAAAATCAGGTACTTAGATTATTTTTTTTAGACATAATGTGGTGTGTATAAAATATTTAATATCTATAGTTAGTATGAGTTTGTTATTTTACCTTTCTGTGAGATTCCTTATTCATAGTAAACAGTAATTGTATACAGAGAATACTTCAGAATCTATCTTACAGATTATGGTTGCTTTTTCCCTGTGGGGGTTAGTAGTCATTGTTTTTCTCTTTGACAAATGAAAGTCCTCTTTGCTTCACTTAAATAAAATTCTGTGTTGTAAATGATCATCTAGGGGCTGTCGAATAAGGGATTACTTTAGCCTATGAATACTGTCTGAAAGTCAGGAATTTTTCCCCTAGCATGTCATATCTTCAAATATTATAATTGTTTATAGTTTTAAGAATTGTTTTAAGAAAAAAAAGAATTGTTTTTATAAGAACATTTTGCTGCTTTTCATTGAGGGCCTAATATTTAACTTTCATAAAGTTAGGGTTAGAGCTCATAATGAATGCTTTTCAAATCTAGAGTACTGTTAAAAGTGCAGGAACTAGAAATTACTTTAGATCTGCCAATCCCAAAACCTCAGGGGAATTTTAGAATCTACATTTTTTAAAACAAGTTTCCTAAGCTATTCTCATAGGCGCTGGCTTAAATTGGAATGATACATGGAAATCATTTAATAATTTATTTATATCTGTGAACATTTTCCAACTGTCCTTGTATCTTTTTTAACTGAATGAATAACATACATATATGTGTGTAGTCATTTTAATAATGTTAATAATTTAGCAAGTATTACAGTATTTATATAATGTATTATAGCTTTCCTTTTTGTTTCCTAATTAATTCATAACAATGGTAGGCTGATAATCTGTGAGGCTGCTCATTCATCAGTGGTGCTCACAACTGAGAATCTGTTATAGTTAGTTTATCCTAAGTGGAAAGGAAACAGCATGAGTAAGACATAACTTTATTGAATTCCTATGTGACAGACATTATCTTTATCTTAAGTAGACCTATTAGATACTGTTATTGCCCCATCTTATACACGAGGAAGCTGAAGCACAGAAAGGTTAATTAACTTGATTGAAATCACACAGCTAGTCTCTGGAGGAGCCAGGATTCAAACAGTTTGATTGCAGAGTCTCTGCTTTTAACCATTATGAAACAGAGGGCATAGTAGCAATCCTTATTTTATAGGATTATACTTTTTTTTAAGGAGAATGAGCAGGGAAGGACAGTGGGAGAGAGAATCTCAAGCAGGTTCCACATTCAGCACAGAGCCCGACGTGAGGCTTAATTTCATACCCTGAGATTATGACCTGAAATCAAAAGTCATCTAGGTTACTTAATTGCTTTCTAAGTGGCTTCTTCTTTAATATACCTAAGCTTTACTTATATACATGATTGACATATGTGTCTCACCAAAAGCATACATTTTTAGATGTTGTATTCTCAGTTTTGGAGCACTTAATAGCTGAAACCATAAATGGTAAAAGCTTAATTCTAACTCTTAAAATCAATCATAAGGTTATAGTAGATGAGATTTTTTTAATGTAAACACAGAAACCCAATTCAGATTTGTTTGCTTGCTTGCTTGCTTGCTTGCTTATTTATTTATTTATTTATTTATTTATTTATTTATTTATTTATTTATTTATTTAAAAAAGGATATTATTTATTCCTGAGAGACATACAGACTGAGGCAGAGACGTAGAGGGAGAAGCAAGCGCCCTGCAGGGAACCCAGTGCGGGACTCAGTCCCAGGACCCCAGGATCATACCCTGAGGTGAAGGGAGATGCTCAACCACTGAGCCACCCAGGTGCCCCCCAGTTCAGATTAGTCTATTAGCTTATATGTTTTGGCACAACTTGATCCAGGGGCCTACACAATTTGAATACGTCTCTGTCATTGTGCTATGGCATGCTTTGTGTCCCATTAGCCTCTGTTTACACTCATAGACATGCTTTCATTTCTGACATTTGGCCAGTGGTGGCTTTAGGCTTATGTGCATCTTATGGTTAGTGATCAGAGTGAGTAGTGGTGTAAAGGTCATTATTAGGTAGTTCAGTAGAAAAACTTAGGAGTTAATTGATATATTTCTTCCCAGCTGTGTTGTGGGCAGATTAATGATTATTAAGCCATGTTGACCATTTCTTAAGGGTTCTAATCTTTCTGCACACATCAAAATTCTTTGTATTCATTGTTACTTATTTCTACATAAAGTAAAACTTAACTCTCTTTCTTTCTTTCAGCTGTATCAGTTGGAGTAGTTACCATAAGAATCTGTTAGCCAGCAGTGATTATGAAGGCACTGTCATCCTATGGGATGGATTCACAGGACAGAGGTCAAAGGTCTATCAGGTAACTAGGATATTATTTTTTTTTTTAAGGTTCACATTTTTACTTAATTGTAATTACAAATGTGGCCACTATTTAGCAATTTTATACCTATGCATAGCAAATAACGCTATGTAATAGCAGATAATGCTTTTCTAAAACATTTCTTCAGACTTGTTTTGCATTTGAAGAATGTGTCAAATGCATTTCCAAAAGCAATAAAATATGTATATATAAAAAGTTTGGAAATTACTTTGCATCTCATTTGTTTTTGTAGCCTGTTCTTTCTCTCTTCCACCAGAGCAATAAATTGGTATCAAGCTTTTTGCTTAATTTATTATAAGATCTATGTCTGTCTGATACTACATTTTGTCTTCCTTCTATGTCTAGGAACACGAGAAAAGGTGTTGGAGTGTTGACTTTAACTTGATGGATCCTAAACTCTTGGCATCAGGTTCTGATGATGCAAAAGGTACTATTTGAATCTCTTCTACTTTCTCTAATTCCTTACTCCCAACTTAATTCCTTTTAGTGGCAGAGGTACAGATATTTATTAAAAATCATAGCAATCCTTTGTGATTATCATTCTAAAAATAATCTAAGCACCGCAATCTGTATCTCTTTTGGAGTGAAAGAAAAATGTATATACTACATCTTCATTATAATAATTTTCTCTGGATTCATGTCATATGGTGATATTTTTATAACCAATTCCTTTATATATACCATCAAGTAAACTTTTTTTCTGAAATATTTAGACAGATATCTCTTTTTCTAAAAAAAATTTTTATTATTTATTCATGAGAGACACAGTGAGATAAGCAGATATATAGGCAGAGGGAGAAGCAGGCTCCCTGCAGGGAGTCCAGTGCAGGACTAGATCCCGTGACCCCAGAACCCCAGGATCATGACCAGAGCCAAAGGCAGATGCTCAACCACTGAGCCACCCAGGTGTCCCCAATACATCTCTGTGTATCCATCATTACTATTCATTTTTTTTTTTTCAGTTATCCTTAATGGTTTTTTGGCCTGGTTATGCTCCCCATTAGATTTATAAAGCCCTGTTAACAGATTTCTTTTACCTTATAGTTAATGGCTTTAATTTTTTGCCATTCTTTTTTTTTTTTTTTTTAAGATTTTATTTATTCATTCATGAGAGACACAGAGAGACAGAGAAGCAGAGATAGAGGCAGAGGGAGAAGCAGGCTCTGTGCAGGGAGTCCGATGTGGGACTTGATCCCTGGACTCCAGGATCATGCCCTGAAGCCGAAGGCAGACGCTAAACCACTGAGCCACCCAGGCGTCCCTGCCATTCTTTTCTACATGTAACCTCCAGACTAGTGGTTAGATAGGCAGAGATAGTTCTAGTGTTGAAAAGTTTATTTTGTAATGGTAGTGCATGCCCTAGTCTGTAAAAGAGAACTGAACATGACAGGACTTTACGCCAAACAAGAAGTAGCAAGTTGAATACCCATAGTATATATATAGATTGGAATACGTTTCTTCTTGGTTGTTTTAGGAAATTATCCTTGAATTTATAAATTATTTAGAATATCATATGATAGTTGATATTTGTATGTTTGAATACAAAGTTTTACTAATTAATGTTAAATGTTCTTTTTCATAATATACGTGGGATAGCTTTTATTGAGTTGAATACTCATATTTTTGTACTGAAGATTAATATTTATTCAAAAGTGGTGACTGGTCAGAGTCTTCCTCTGAAAAATAGAAGCCATTTGAAACAATTTAGGTAGGAAGGGATTTTTAAAGTTATTTATTCATGTTAAATAGTATTAGAATATGCATAGCATAAAATTAACCATTCATTTAACCATTTTGAGTGTACAGTTCAGTGACATTGTTGTGCAATCTTCACCACCATCAGTCCATAGAACTTTTTTCATATTGCCAAACTGAAGCTGTACCCATTGAACATAACTCCCCATTTGTCAACCCTTTGCAGTCACCTTTCTACTTTCTGCCTCTATGAAATTTACAACTCATATCTACCTCATATGAGTGGAATCGTGTAGTATTTGTCTGTTTGTGTCCGGCTTAGTTCACTTAGCATAAAGTCACAAGGTTCATCCATGTTGTAGCATGTGTCAGAATTTCTTTTAAAAGGCTGAATTATAATTATTTTATGAGTGTATCACATTTTGTTTATCCATTCATTCATCAAAGGACAGACCTTTGGGTTATGTTTTGAGCTCTTGTGAATAATGCTGCTCTGAACATGAGTGATAAGATATATTTTTATGTCCTGGTTTTAGTTCTTCTGGGAATAGACTCAGAAATGGAATTGCTGGATCATGTTACTTACATGTTTAAATTTTTGAGGAACCATCATTCTCTTTTCCATAGTGACTGTACATTTTACATTTCCACCAGTGCCTAACTATTTCAGTTTCTCTGTATCTTCACCAACACATCTTCCTTCCTTCCCTTCGTTCCTCCTTCATTCCTTCCTTTCTTAATACTAATGACTTTAATGATATGATGTGATATTTTATTGTGGTTTCTCTTTGAATTTTCTTAATGATAGTGATGTTGAGTGTCTTTTCATGTGCTTATTGCTTATTTATCTTCTTTGGAGAAATGTTTATTTAAGTCCTATGCCCATTTTTTTAATGGTTTTTTGTTTGTTTGCTGTTGTTATTGAATTGTAGGATTCTCTGGATATTAATCCCTTATCAGATATGTGATTTATTGATAGTGTGTTTTGATGCACACAGTGTTTTCATATTGATGAGGTCCAAATTGTCTAATTTTATTTTGTTGCCTGTGTCTTTGGTGTCCTGTACAAATCCAATGTTATGAAGACTTTACTCTTTGTTTTCTTCCAAGAGTTAGTTACATAGTTCGATTTTTTTAAAAGGATTTATGTACTTAATTTAGAGAGATACCGTGCAAGTAGTGGGAGGAGCAGAGGGAGGGAGAGGACACAAGCAGACTCTCCGCTGAGAACAGAGTCCGATGCAGGGCTAGATCCCGGACCCTGAGATCATGACCCGAGCTGAAATCGAGAATTGGATGCTCAACTGACTGAGCCCCGTAAGGCCCCCAAGAGTTTTATAGTTTGAGCTCTCACATGTCTTTGATCTGTTTTAACTTTTGTATATAGTGTAAAGTAAGATTCTGACTTTGACTTCATTCTTTTACATGTGGATATCCATTTTTCTTGGTACCACTTTTTAAAAACATTGTCCTTTCCTCATTGAAAGGTCTTGAGCCCTTTTCAAAAATGATTTGATTGTATCTTCGAGGGTTTATTTCTAGTGTTTTCTCTTGGTTGATCTGTGTCTTTACGCCACTATTGCATTGTTTTGTAGCTTTGTTTTGAAATCAGGAAATGTGAGTCCTCCATATTTTTTCTTCTTTTTCAAGATTGTTTTGGCTATTTAGGGTCTACTAAGAACCCATATGAATTTTAGGGTGGATTTTATTTTATCACTTGTTTTCTTCTGCTTACTTTGTGTTTGATTTGCCCTTCTTCTTCTAGTTTCCTAAATTAAAAGCTTGGATTATTGATTGTAGATCTTTGCTCTTTGGTAATATAAAATATGCATTTAATGTTATAAATGTTCCTTCAAGTGTTGCACTCCATAAGTTTTGTTAAGTTTTATTTTACTTTTTATTTATTTCAAAGTATTAAAAATTGTTTTGGGATTTCTTACTTGACTTATGTATTGCTTAGAAGTGTGTTGTTTAATCCCTAGGCATTTTGGAATTTTCTGTCTTTCTGATATTGTGTTCTAGTGTAATTCCATTGTGGCCTAAGAGATAAATTTTAAAAAATCTGCTACTTTTAATTTGTTAAGGTGTGTCTATAGCCCAGAATGTCCTCTGTCTTGGTGTATATCTTCATGAGTTTGAGAAGAATGTATATTCTAGTTAGATAAAGTAGTCTGTATATCATTTATATTCATTTGATTGATGGTGTTTTGAGTTCAACTATGTCCTTACTAGTTTCTGCCTCCTTCTGGTTCCATCTGTTTTTGATGGAGGGGTATATATTTTTTATATTCTGCATTGACCTATGTTTTTCTTCCTTTTCTATAACCCATTGTCTTCATTTGTAGCTTTACAGTAATTCTTGATGTCTAGTAGTATGAGTCTTCTATGTTCTTGAAAATAATTTTAGCTTTTTACTTCCTCTACCCTTCCATGTTCATTCTAGAATCAAGTTGCCGTTCCTATGGAGAATCCTGCTGAGATTTTGATTAAGATAATATTGCATCTGTAGATCATTTTGGGGAAAAATTGATGCCTTAATATATTGAGATTTCTATTTCATGAACATGTTTTTTTTTTTTTTTAAGATTTTATTTATTTATTTGACAGAGAAAGAGAACACAAGCAGGGGTTGCTGCAGATGGAGAGGGAGAGGGAGAAGCAGGCTTCTCACTGAGCTGGGAGCTTGATGCAGGATGCAGGGTGTGATTCCAGGACCTTGGAATCATGACCTAAGCAAAAGTCAGATGCTTAAATGAGCCACCCAGGTGCCCCTTCATGAACATGGTTTATCTCTACCAAATTCAGGACTAAAAAAATTTTTTTTAATATTTTATAGTTTTCAGCATTACAGATCCTGCATATTATTTATTTATATTTTTAATTTATTTAAAGATTTTTATTTAATCATGAGAGACACAGAGAGAGAAAGAGAGAGGCATAGGTAGAGGCAGAGGCAGAGGCAGAGGGAGAAGCAGGCTCCATGTAGGGAGCCCAATGTGGCACTTGATCCTGGGCCTCCAGGATCATGCCCTGGGCTGAAGGCAGCTCTAAACCACTGAACTACCCGGGCTGCCCCAGATCCTGCATATTATTAAAACTAAATAGTTTATGGTGCTGAAAATAATGTTTAGGGTCACCCAGGTGGCTCAGTTGGTAAGGTGTCTGCCTTTAGCTCAGTTCATGATCCTGGGGTCCTGGGTCCTGGGATTGAGCTCCGCATCAGGGTCCCTGCTCAGTGGGGAATCTGCTTCTTCCTCTACTACTCCTTCTGCTAATGTTCTCTCTCTGAAGTAAATAAAGTCTAAAAAAAAGAAAATTATGTTTAAAATACATTGGTTTTCATTCAGTTTTTTACTAGTTTATGGAAAAACTATTGTTTAAAGATTTACTTATTTGAGAGAGAGTGGGGAGGAGGGGCAGAGGGGGATGGAGAGAGAGAATTCCAAGCTGACTCTCTACAGAGCATGAAGCCCAGCACAGTGCTGTATCTCACAAGCCTGAGATTGTGAATTGAGCTAAAGTCAAGAGTTGGATGCCTAACCAACTGAGCCACCCAGGAACCCCTAAAATATTTGATTTTTAAATATAAATTGTTTCAACAAACTCTTTACTTTTAGTAGATTATGTTTGGAGTTTACTTGGGTCAGTCATGTCAGCAAACAGAGCTGTGGAAGCCACTTTTAGGCTTGAGCAGTGGAACCTGAGTAAGGTAAAAGGGCCCACAGTGACCAC